ACACACACACACAAACACACACACACACATATATATATATATATATATATGGAAATATTGTTCAAAGATGCATCCTCAGACCGATATCGAAAGTGCAATTCATAACAGTAGTGATCAAACGCAATAAATGGTATTACAGGCAGATCTGTACCTTTCAATCTCATGTACTGACGAGGAAACACAATAGGGTGTTCATGGGAAATTATCCCTAGGTCCTTGAAGTTGTAAACGTTTATGACTTTGCCATTTCTCTTGTTAACAAGGTATATTTTGATTCAATCAGCTTGCAGGGAATGAGAGCAATTGCAGTTATGGATTTCATTTTCTACTGTTGGGTTGCTCACGTAAGATGCAAAATAGCAATCCATAACCTTAACCAGATGCACACATCACGTCTAGTTGGTTAGACAAAGAAAAAAGATTCATAAAATGTTTGAAAGCGACCGTGACCGAAAAGTTATGATAGAGGGCTCCGAGGGGCTAACAGCTTACCAGGTTGCGCAAGTCGTTCTTGTGTCGAGACAACTAGCATACGCGTACGGGGATGGATGAAAATGCGCAAGCAAATGAGCTGATCATTCACGCTTTGAATCCCGCGAACTATGGTCAACAAATGCACAGCTTGAGGTTGATTAGGAGAGGCCATTTGATTCTGTGTTGCGGTCGAATTGGATTGGGGCGTGGTCGGAGAGGAACCACGCCGCGGACGATCAATCGGTGCAGAATCTGTTGGCAGTACGACCGAATACGGTCGGAACCGATCGAAACGCAGGACGCACAACCAGGTGGAAAACGTCAGCCCGTGAGGCGGAGGAAAGAAACGTTCGCCTATGAAAAGAATAAAAAATAAACAACCACGAATGAAAATGTTAGGAAAAAACACAACGGAGACGCACATGACAGATGAGACAACATCTGCTAGGAAAATCAAGTTGGTAACAATCACAGAGCTAAAGCAGAACATGGTGTGGTCTGAAAATCAGTTAACCGGCGATACAAAAGAAGCAGTTTGAAGTCCTTGGTTGGGTCGCGGTAAAAAGATAAAAGTAGGATACAAAAGTTCACCGAGATTGCGCATTTTTTTAATACAATGGACTAAGGGTTCGTAAGTGTGGAAAAATTTATTGCTTCTGACTTTTATCCGCCAATGACCGTGATTCAACCTTCAGAAATATAAAGCATCTGGGTGATCGCATCTGCGAATTCACCGGCACCCAGGTGGGGTGAAGCATACTCATAAATAAGATGTTTTGTTCTTAACGCGGTGAGCATAACAACAACGACAACAAAAATGCTGGAATCATATGTGAATCAATCGTCGACTCGCACAAGCGTGTAGAGAGAACAGGTGAATGGCAGCAAGCACATTGGTGGTTATGCTTGCATCCCAATCGCTGAGAGCGGAAACCGAGTGTAATTAGCATATGGAGTAGTAGGAGTGATGAACAAGCGATGTGTGGATTCAGTAAAGATTATTACAGGGGAGGATGGATATACAAATGATCCACATCTACATCATCGAGATTAACATTTAACATCAAGGCTTGTGAACAACTCAAACACGAAGCGCCTAGCTTGTTTGTTGTCCGGCTGGATAGCTCACATGTACTGTGTGGTTTAGACTGTCGGTCATCGCATGTGAACAGTAGGTTCATGTGAGTATGGGGTTTGCACGTCCCGATGTTCATAATACAATGCTGTGCAATAAAAATACAAGTATTATACATAAAATTTCGTATTGACATTCGAAAAATTAGACCACGATGGCGAGCATAAACACTGGTGAAAAGATAATAAGCGAACAGAAGCCGTGACACATGATAAAATGTGGGACAATATAACGTTTTCCATATAATCCTAAACAAATAAGATCGCTCAGAAACGATGCTTGTTGTTCTGTTCTGAGTGATAATGAGGGGTTAGTGCTGGTCGTTGAAATCGAACTCGGGAGAAAGCTTTATAAGAAAACTTGACCAAATACACTGTGCACAAATGAGACAGGTATTCCTGATCTAGACTGATCAACAGTCAGATTGCTGAGAACCAATCTCGAGGATGACAAAACCCCATTGTTTTTCCTGACTCAGTAATACCGGTGAACATGCATATGCATTGTCGAAGCCACCTACAAACAAGCGCTAAGAGCATCTAAAGCTTTCTAGTGAGTGGAAATCGGTCCTTAAGTTTCGCATTGGCGATTATCGCCTCGACGATTTATAATTCGCTGATGATACTGTCGTCTTTGGTGAGGATATGTCCAACCTCGAAATAATCGTTTATCTCATCAGTTGACAGATCCCTAAGATCGACTTAGTGGTGAACACATCAAAAACCAAGAGGTTTGCAACAGTTCCAATTCATCCCCAAGGTGCTTTACAACTAAACGGCGAACCGCTCGAAAGTTTAAATCAGTCAACCATACTGACCAACGGGTAAACTAAAGTCGGGGTACCATTGCCAGTTTCTACAGCTGACGAATTCCATACGGTGTAGAAAGGAAATCAGCCTTAAGATTAAAAAAAAATACGAGTTTTCGCCGCAGCACACTATTCTGCCTTAATGTACGGTTGCGATACCTGGCCAGTTAGAGTTGAAGACTCTCAACGATTTGAAGCTTTCGATCACTCGTGCCTAAGAATCATTCTGGGAGTTCGATAAAGGGATCAGCTCTCAAATAAAGCGGTCAGAAACCGGTTTTAATCTTATACGGCTACGGACCCTAATACACAGACGGCAACTGCAATGGTTTGGTCACATACTTCGTGAATCTGACAACAACCTGACTACAGCTGTCTTGGCACTGTTACACTGTTCAAATTCGTGCTGTCGACGCGATGGATAGCTGAAAACCTGGCTAGACACGGTACGCACAGATGCAGCAACCTTGATCCACGCTCCGTCTATGGTAATGGTCAGTAGAAGTGAAGCTGGATCACAACCTGCGATGATCTCATTGCCGACTGAGTGTGGATATCCATGAAGCCGACTCATCTTCTCCCGGGAGCCAGTCGCGGTAAAGACAAGTAGGCAATTGATGGCAAATGACAACATGGTGTGATGCAAAAATGCTTTGTAGACATCAACGTCATAGGATTATTGTTACCGATAGGAAAACGAAGAAGTTGCGTTAAAGCCTCGCAATGAAGCTGACAAGGCTTCTTCGTAACATGCACCTATTCTGTCATACAAGGTTGATGTTATTTGAAATTCATCAAGTGACCCGTGAAGAATCTCAACGCATGTGGGACTGAATCTGAAGGAGCAATTCGCAGAATATGTATAAAATAGTGTCCAAAAGTTTGTAACAAGCTAACATTTCACGCAATCCTCACTTTACTAACGCTGAACACTACACATAAAATGCTTTGGTGATTATTTTATTCTTCCGAAATGGGAAATGAAATCGTACGCGTGCCAATTCCACCGGCTGATGAGGTGAGATCAGAAGCGACAGTTGCGCCGGATATGTTCGACACAGATGATGGTCCTTGAGGTGCTATGGATGGAAGAAAAAGACAGCCGAACCCTTCCGGACTCATATCGAATTCGACGAACGGCGGTACCACCGCAAAACTCATTGTGTAATCTGTCGGCTGATGAGTGTCTGTCGGTTTACGACAGTCAGGATCGCTTGAACTGGCAGTGCCATTGCCCGTACCGATCTGCCCATATAGGGGCCGTGCAATTTGAGCCGAGGAGGGTGTGGAAGTGGTGATCAAACATTTGATCTGACTCAGCGGAATCGGTCCACCATGACGAGCACGGGCACTTTCAACTGCAGCGGCCACTTCGGCCAGGGGATCTTTTCCCGCTTCGGAAATAGGTTTTACCAAAGCAGAAGGCCGACAACACAGAGGATTGGAAATGCGAAGAAACTCCCTGAAATTTGAATCAAAAAGATTATTCATTAGCAGCAAAGTGCTGCAGGTCATTCTATCAACAACAAGAATTTGTTATGCATTTAGAGGTACAAACGCTAAACACCTGGTACACTACGAATCAGGAAAAACAAGGTGAGAAAGGCTACCAACAATCTCAGACGGACGTCCAATCTAACATACTTCCATTTCACATTCAGCACACAGACTGATTTTCGTATGGTGAACTGAAGAGACAAATTATCACCTCCGGAAAGCGACTGTACAAAACTGAAAGACGATTTACGAAAACATGTTCGCCTACTCTGTATTTTGATTCAAGCAATGGGCACATGTATGCTGATTTGAAAGGCAGGATCAGAAACCGAAGTTCTTACTTTACATTCCCCTAACCCTTGTCGGAGCAGTGGATACAATGACCGTCAAACAACGTGAAAAAATCGATTTGTTTTCAAAATGCAGACGCGGTGAGACTAACGAATATCAAGAGTGAGGAAAAATTAAAGGAAAGTTGACGTCACAGTTTCGCGGTTCATTTGTTACACTTTTTCCAGCAGAGCCGTATTCGTTCAGATCAAGGAGGCTATATAAAAGGATATATTATCGATCTTTCCATTGGAATTCACACGAAGGAAAAAAAGTGAACAAGGTTCATGGCACAATGGTCTCCGATGATTCATCACTGCGTACGCAGGTACTATAGAAATCGGTACATAATTCTTTTAGTTTGAGTAAAAACTGGTGCACAACAGAAAAGATGATGAACAAAAAGAAACTGTTTGAGGTTCATTTCTCTACATTCATTTATACAATAAATCCAGCGCAAACTTATCAGTAGCTTAATACCAACCTTAGTCCACTGAACCTCTCCATTATCTTTTCGAATCCACTTTCAACTTTCCTTTCTTCTCCTATTCTTCATCCCAATGGGCAGCCAAAAGATAGCAACCAAAACCGGCGCACGAAAGTGCATGGTTAATGGTTGTTCAAACTGAACTGAACTGAACTGGAGGTATATACAGTCAGATATAAACCTTGAGTGCTTCCTGGCTTTGTAGTCCGTCTTTTTTACTCTGTATACAATGAACCTATTTATATAACCAAGATGGTATTGTTCGGACAATATGTGATTCTTCATTTCACAGTATTCGCGGCCTGTAGACTCTGCATCAAATTAAGGCAAGCACAAAGGGTGCTAAACCGACAGAAGACCTGGCGGTTGTTGCGTTTTGTTGAAGCCGTAACAATTCGACGTCCCAGACCACACACCAACAAACAATTTTTCTATTGTTCCTCTTTTCAAGGTATGTACGAAGAATGGGGGATAAACCATTATTCACAGCTGCGAATAACAACATGGACAAAAGAATCAACGGAATATTCTGCCTGTGACGAGACATCGGGACCAGACACTGAGCGCGACGAATTCATCTTGCGGGGGAAGTCATCGACTCAGGCACAAGTGGGATCGGACAGATAATAACACTCAAACAATAGAGAAGAGCAATAAACGGTCACGGCGACAAAGAAAATGAGTAGAAGCCAAAAACCTGGTTTGGCAGCAGTGTGAAACAAAACAGCGACTGCATGTTATCACCTAAAGTATGAAGTACAAGGCATGTGATCCTGGTGAATCATCAGATAACGGCCGATGTGCTTCCGATCGGGTGCTATCATACCCCTCCCCCGGTATCCTACCTACACACACTCGTTGACTCAGTCACGTGACACACAACACACGAATGCGCACCGTGACACCGCTTACCAGTTATATGACAGGGACACGCACTAGGACAAGACAACCAGTCATATGACCATACACGCACTAAACGCGCCTGTGACCTCACCACTTCGACCCATTCACGCATTCATGAACCCAGCCGATCAATGTACTTGACCTTGCGGCATTCGTCCATCAGTTTGGGTGACTAGGATTCAACACCATTGATTACACATCGGACTATTAGTGGATTATATTACGTTGTTTATTTACGCGGAATCTAGAAATCTTGATGTGAGTACTTATCTCGTTTCACTGTCGATTCATACCTATCTCCTATTTGCGTGTACTAAATGTTAGTTATTAATTTCTTACAGCACCGCATTGATATTCATAAACTCACCCCGTACGATAAGGTGCTTACATTCTGCTTAGCTCAGCTAGGATTGCGAATAAACAAGCGCGTGATCAGACCGAGATAAGATTTACGTTAAAAGAGATCCACGGAGCTAACATGGCACATTATATTTAGCGAACCCGAGGATACATCAAAAAAAGATACTAGTCTATTCAGTTGAGTGATTATCTTAGTACCCTAAAAGCGCTTCCTGAATAACCGACGAGGATTGCGGATAAACTAGCGATCGATACAGTGAGACTCGTTTCCAAATTGATATGTGCGAGCGGAATCACAAGTTACAAGCAACAGTGGCAACGCTTGGTGACGGGCGGAACGTATTCTGTAGTGCAACCTACCAGAAATAATTGCACATTCCTTTTAATCATTCTTTTTCACTGACGTGGCAAGCTTCCGGAAATGAAAAAACCTTTGCTTCCCGCAAACAACAAAAAACCATAGATGAAATGCTGGCATAATTGGGACTCAAACTGTGAGACAAGCAAAGATAACTGCAATTGTTAAATTTACACAATTACCATTATCCAGGAGAAAAATTTTAATTATGAGTATTCCATTCTGTTTTATTAACCTGAAATTTTCTATTCATTCATCGAAAAAATGTACGCATTGACTGTGTGGAGCGATTTACGATCGGTTCCATGTGTGTTTTCACAAACAAACAACACCAAATATACCGGTACCATTGTTTTAGTAAACTAATTTGGTTCGTAAACGAGAGGGAGAAGAAAACGCAAATTCAGTTCATTCATACTTAAACAATCGTTCATCGGAATGAAGTTGAGGGGTGATGAAGGTGAACTTGTGTGAGTGATGCAAATATAACGGTGAACAAACGATTTCGTGAGCGTCAAATCGCGATGTCGTTAAGATTCTCCGACTAATAAATTGCGCAGTTTCCGTGGTCCGAAACATGGAAGTACAGATTGACATATTTGACCGATGTTAACGGTCAAAATTATAATACATCTTCATCAAGGGTCTGCACTAGTTGCTTCCTTCTAGCATCTGATCACCAACGCTCCATTTTATTACTTTGGTCTGTCTAGTGGCAATCAGAACTGTTGTGTTACTCGGAGACGTG